TTTTGACACACGTCTAAAGACCTCGAAGACCCCTGAAGACCACCCCCCCCCAGTTACTTCGAAGACCAGCATCTCCTGAAGTAAAGCAATCCAACCGATGGCTGACCGTTGATCGGAGCAGTGCTAGCATTCATTAGGTCACTGATAATTTGAGTCGCTACACCCGCGTTTTCTCCTTTGAATTCACTACAGAAAGTGATGGTACGAATCGGGTGTCGTCCATTCATTGGTGGTAGTGCTGCGGAAGCCGACGTGTGGTCCCCTGTTTACTCATGTTTGGATTGCCAGGAAAATGTCCTAGCAGTCTATATTCCCTGCTACCGTGTTCACATTGTCCACAAAAGTTTTTAGCGCTTCGAATTTTTTTGTCGCAGAACTTTTTTGCCAACCCTATAAGTGGCTTCTATTTATGTTTCTATTGAACTGATTTGTAACTGAGTTCGTTTTTCAACTCTATTTATAGTGCGCCTGAATAAATAATAATAAATAACGACGTTCACGAACTCTCACTCCTGCAGCTGTACGACCTTCAACATAATCGAACTCGCCGATGGCAATGGCCATTAGATACGTTGACATCACTGGTGTTTTATCGAATCTACTTGTGATCCAAGAAGTCCCCGGTTCTCTGCAATTTTCTTCTTTGTTGACAGTCAAATCAAAATGGGTGGTCGTTTAATACTATATATTACCAAACTGCCCATCCATTGGGAAACAAAGGAAAATATTGTAAAAAGACCAACTTCCTTGAGATTTCTTCACATATATAGGATGGAAACTTTAGTGGCATTCACTTGAGCAAATTGATGACTATCGGCAAACAGTTAATAACCAAGTAGTTGTTAAGTGATCGACGAAACGACGTTTCTAGTTGTAATTTTTTCCTGGCTACCCGCATTTCATGAGCAACTACTAAGTCGTTGCTGAGGCTCTCTCAAGAAAAGGTCGGCGTTGGCAAGCAGCTAGTAGAATCAGTGAGTTGAACACATATACCTGCTTGCCACCGTTAACGTCTCTCGGCAACTCTTTTTGGAGACTATTCTAGCTCTTGTATTGTGTAATCTAGTGGACGTTTTCATTTCCAAGCTCGACCATACTGACGGAAACATGGGAATAAGGTCAGAGTGCTTAGTCTTCACATAGCGAAAGCTATGGAGTAGGCCAATTCCTCTCGCAAAAGTTCTGAACAACCACTGATTTGTGGTGAAGTACTACAGTAGTACGACAATGTGTCTGGTTCGAATCGCCAGTGTCCTGTTGCGCACGGCAAAACTAAGAAAGCATCCTCACTCACTTCGACCCTTCGAAGTAGAAGGATCAGCGGTGTTTCAGCCTCGGCGGTCCGCAAAGGCCATTACAAACATGGTGAGCTTCTTGTATCACTTTCTTTCATTTCACTTTCGCACAAATCCGACGCCTGCTTTCTAGGCACGTCTTCCAACGTCAGTATCTTCCTTGTCAACGAACGGATTACCCTATGACGAGTCCCTTAAAACGATTGATGAAGCCGTTCTTTCCTTTCTCTTTAGCCCGATCATTCAAAAATTAGCTGTTTAACTGTTGGCTCTGTTGGCTTTGTTGTTCGAATGAATTTTCACGATTATGTGCTGGAAGTCATTAATGCGACATCCATTACACTAGCCTTTTGCGCGCAGGATGAGCCCTACTGCTAGGCAGACTTTCGCTCCGTTTTCTTGACATCCCTTCTGAATATAACCGCAGACCTCTTATCTCAACATTTCTGCAGGTATTTCCGAGTCTTCGCGCGCACTGGCCGAAGACTACTCGGTCTGCGGCATCGGAGGTTTTGGCGTGTTAGGTATGTGCAATGCATTTTGCATAGAGTCTGCCAACAAGTTGAATTCTTCGAAGGATAGGTGATTTTGGAGAGCTTTTTTTACATAAGTCAATGCCAGGGTCACGTTCGTTTTAAGTTGTAATAAAACCAGTCGATTCCTCCGACTAAGGAAGTGCTTCACTTTTTTACCAAGGTTGTAGGAATCGGCACTCTTCTACAACGGAGAAGATACCAAACGAAATGGTGTGGCTGTAGCAGTGGCAGACTCCCTGAAAGACTCTGTCTCCGCCGTCAACAGGGTCAGCAGTCAAATCATATCGGTGAGGATAGACACGAAGGAGGGGAACTGGATAATAATATCAGTGTACGCACCTCAAGCCGGCTGCCCCATCTACGAGGAAGTTGAGTTCTATCTGAGCCTTGACGAGACCATCCGATCAGTTCCGGAGGGGAACTATCTTACCATAGCAGGTGATCTGAATGGGCACGTCGGCAGTGAAAGGAGGGGGCTGGAAAGGGTGCATGGAGGTAAAGGTGTAGGAGTCAGAAACGATGAGGGAGAAAGGGTCCTTGCCCTGGCTATAGCTCACGACTTGGCAGTCTGCAGCACCTTCTTCGCGAAAAGGAAGTCCCAGAAGGTAACCTACAGCAGTGGAGGGAAAGAAACGGAAATAGATCATGTGCTGGTAAGAAGATCGTCCCTCAAAACTGTAAAGGACATCAAGGTACT